ATTTTCTTGGACCTTGTATTTATTTCCTGGATATTGTACATCAAAGAACTGCAGATTGAAATTGATGTTATTTTCCACCAGAGAATTACACTTTTCCTTTGTTAGGAAGTTGGACTGAGTGAGAGCTGGGGTGCCGCTGTCGCTAGATTTAGTTCACTTCTGATTTTAAATGTCTTGAAGAGGACTACTTCCTCTTGCAGGAATTTTTCTCTTAAGCTATGAAATTTTCAACCCAGACTCATCAAATATCCTCAGGAGAAAAAAAGGCAGGCCACACATCTTAGCTCACCTAGGGAGAGCTTTTCTCTCTCTGGAATTCTTATATTTGATGGTTTTCAGTATCTTTTAAAATAATGGTTTTCCTAATTCACCTTTTTATTTTGTTCTAGTTGCTGTAGTGGGATTGATGACCTGCCACTAGCTGCTATATCCTACCTGAATTTCCCTGTACTGCTTTTCAAAGAGATTTAAGTTACTGAAATCATTTTCCCACAACATTGGACAGCTAACAAACTTTAAAGTATACAGTTGTTATAACTTGAACATTCATTTCAAAGAGATTGAACTTAGGCACACTGGTTGCATTTTTGTGGGTTGTATACCCTTCATGGCATATTATGGCTCCTTGTATAATCAAAATATATGGTACATCTATGATCTCTGTATGGGAGGCAATGCACAGTTGTAGAAGGACACTAAACACTTGATAGACACAATCCTGAGTTTTGATTTGAAACTTCTAAGAAGCTAGAACAGGAAGATATTATGAGCTTTATTAATTTCCTGGAGCTTTATTAATTTCCTGGGCCTGGGAGTAAATCATCTCCAAGGCCCTCATTTCACCCAGTTTAACATTAGGATACATTTTGTACACTCATAAAGCAAAAAGTTCAAGTGTAAATGAAATAAACACTCAAGTATCTGCTGTTAGTTCAGTAGAACATACCAGTGCTTTTGAAATACCCCTCCTTGATACAATCCCTCTCCCTCCTTTCCTAAGACATATCCATTATCCATTATCCTGAACTTCAGGTTTATTGTTACTTAGTTTATAATTTTTTCCACATTGGTAGGCTATCCCTAAGCAATAAATTGTTTGATTTATAGGCATTTAAACTTTATACAGCATTATACTTTACAAGTTCCTCTGCAACTCATTTTTTCCCCTCAAGCTTCATGCTTGTGAGATGTAGCCAAGTTGATGTAGGCAGCTGTAATGAAATACCTACTTCTTGTCCCAGGGTTCTGTGCTGCAGTTTCCTCCATTATAAGAGGAGGGTTTCAACTGAATCATCTCTCAATACTCTTCCAGATCTGAAGTTCTAATTTTACATTTTACAGTAAGTACAGAAGCATACAGTTTTCCCTAACTACATATATATAATTATCTATATATACACATATATACACACATATACATATCTAATGTGTATATTAATCAACAATATATGTATTACGATTTGAGGTTTATTCTTTGATCAGGAACACAATCCCCATGGGAAATGTGTCATGGCATCATTTCCAGATATTTTGGCAAAATTGAAAGATTACCTAAGTATAAAACTTCAGTATGCAAGATAAGTCATCTTAATACCAACTTTGAAGAGACACATGCAATGATCAGAAAAGACAATACACAATGCAAAAATGCAAAGTTTATTTTCTTAAATAAAATACTATATTCATATCTATACAAATAATTATTACAACCATTAAAATGTTACATTTACCAATAAAATTTTCAAAACTTTGAACAAGAGCATGGTTCAAAATATTCACACCCACCCTAATACAATGCATTTGTAAAAAGATGTCAAAATAAACAGGACCTATTCTTATTTACAACTGTAGGACAATCCTGATCATACTATACATATCTGCTCTGGATTCCATTACAAAACAAATTAGTTCTCATTAGAATTACAAACCAGGTGATTTACAGTAATAGGGCACAGTGCACAGCAGACAGTGCTGGCAGGAAACTAGATACAAATATTACACTATTGAAAGACAACACTTAGGTTTTTTCTGGTGACTGCCTTACAATAAGCTTCTCACCCAGTATATCTATAAATAATTTGTGAAGGTAATTATGTTCTCAGATTTTTCCAACTATTTTTACCAAAATGAATATATATATGTATGGCCTGCTCAAAGTGGAAGCAAATCTTTTCTTCACAGTAACACAACTGCAGCATTTTAAGCAACACTGTCTGGTCCCTTTCTTCTTGGAAGATCAACAGTTCAACTCCCCTTAAAGGTTACCACTATAGTCAAGTCCAGTGCCTCAGTGACCTCACAGATGAAAAATGGTTTTAAGACTTAGGGGATAAAGGAGCAGAGATCCAAAAAAGTGGAGATGGGATTTAGGTGGAGTAAACTTTAAGTTCCGAAGACGTAATATGGTGTATAGCTGACACAACTGAACACAAACAAAAACTAATGATCATCTTTCTTTTTAAGTATTAAATCACAAATGAAGAGTTATCCTATGTCTCATGTAATTTCTAGTGAGAGTCATCCAAAATAACACCGATTTGGATAATATGCCCAGTACTTTCAACCTAAATTGGCTAATGTTTATGAAGCATCTGAATACATAAGCCAGAAAAAAATTATGGTTGATGGGGTACAAATGTAGAAATAAGGATGTTGAATAACCATGACATACAAGCTCTGAGTTTAAAAGGAGTTTTGCTTTTAACTAGTGTTTTTTTTACAAGATCGGCATCAAAGATGGCTCAGCAAATGATAAGGCAACAGTGAGAAACATCAGCTGTACTTGCCTCCCAGGCGTTTGATTACATAGCATGTACCATCCTGGCTGGTCCTTTGCTATAAGACAGGAGTGGGTGGGTAATAGTTCCAATGGCTGGTCTTGGGACCAGAGGCACAGTTTCAGGTAAAGTGCACCAGGGTGGAAGCATGTGGGCAGAACTAGATCCTCAGTACTTCTTACCAGCATATCCAGACTGCCTCAATCTAAACTTGGTGTCCCCCAAAGACTCTGGTAGAAACACTCTCAGGCTCACACAGGAAGTTAATGCACAGAGTATGGTTAAGTCAAAAAACAAACAGAAAAGACGGAATATTTTCTGTTGAACTTTAGGGAAGGAGAAATGGTAGCATTCAGTCAAAACGGTACCTTGAGAAGAAACTAATTTCTGGCCTTCAATTTGTATACAGTTATCATTAAATCATCAATCACAGATTAACTTCACACTAGCTTTTTCTGGCTATTAATATTGCCCTCTGAATGTGCACAGCCATAGGCAATTACCTCCAGGCAAAGGATTTATATAAACAACTGAATTACAATGACTTCCAGGTTCCTAAGGATATCAACCCAAAGCCACCTGATTTTGTACTACCTCTGCCTTCTCGTCACTTCTCCACAGGAAAAAACAAGCTCACCAAAACAAGGAACAGAGCTACAGGGCACATTAAATATTTTGCATTAATTTTGAACTATTCTGTTTTGAAAAATTCTTTTTGTCCAGAAGAGGAGACAAAGTGGTTCCCAAAGCTAGGAATTGGGAACCCTAATTAAAGAGCATGACTATCACACACTGATCCAATACATGATGGGCCCAGCAAATGTTCCAAGGCAAAGGAGTGACCATCCTGCTGAGGAGATGATCAGGTCCCTGTCACCTGTTTGACATGGAGCAGAAGGAAGAAAATAAGAGCCTGTGGACCTATATCACAGCGAAGATAAAGCTAAGAAGATGCATATTAGTCTTGACCCCTTCTTAATTTTTAAAACTTTTATACCCAAAAATACGTTTCCATATATTTTTTCTTTTGGAGTACAAATTTTAGCCTCTCCATGAAATGGATAATGTTAGAAGGGGAGAGCAAGGCAAATGAATTCTCTTTAAAATGTTTAAATAATTTTGTATTTTAAGAAGGCTGATTTTAAAAAGGCCAAGCCTTATTGCAACTCACCTTGATATGTCATTCCCTCCTCATGCTTCTCTTTCCACAGTTCGGATAAGTTAAATGTTATAAAGCATGATTAATGTGGGATTCTCACTCCTTATTTAGAAAAAAGGGTATCATCTCTGGTATAGATCTTACAATTAAAACAAAAATACATTTCCTGAAACAGTATAAAACATCCCCCAAAAAGCCTGTATATACCAAAATACCCCAAATAATATCAAACTTGATTTTGTTTATCCATGATTGACACAGTAAAAGTTTACATATGATAAGAAATCTCAAATTTTTTCACATCATTAGAAGTTACTATGTTAAATATTTGGAGGAATCGACCACTTTCTGCAACTGATTCTGTGATCAATAATACTAAAAGAGAAATAACTTAAATAAATGACTTTTATTTATGACTCATACATATGTTTGCATATTTCCAGAAATTACAAAATTGTTTGTGGAAATGGTTTTATATTTTAGTCATATATGAGCAAGCCAAGAATAACATTAAATTTACTGTCACCAAAATTGACTGTTTTCTGACATTCTTTTGTCAAAAATTATATCCAGAATTTGCTAAGTATTAAATAAATTTCCTCCCAAATATCACATAGCTCTAATTATCAAAAACTTTACACTGCTGGTAAATCTCATTCACTCATGCTTTTAAATCAAATAAGATTATTGTGCTCTGAACACTTTCAGAATTGAGTCCCTACATAAAATGGTCTCTTACATACACACGCATATCTGTAAATTCAGAGCTACAGGTACACAGGAACCCAATTATTTGCAGGTGGTCACATCTTTCTTCAGATGGTCAAATAGCCTTACTTAGAGACTCACTTGGGATCTAAGTGTTATATGAGTGGAGTGAGAGCTCTGAGAAATGTAAATGCTATCTCTGAACAGAGTTAGACAGAAAATTATAATCAGTGCAATAGAGAAATATCTGGAAGTCCCAGGCTTTGAAGCTCTTCCACTACAATGTTCAAACTGATCTTCTCTTAGCTTGTTACCTTAGTTCCAATTACAGTCTGAACACTTTCAGAATTGAGTCCCTACATAAAATGGTCTCTTACATACACACGCATATCTGTAAATTCAGAGCTACAGGTACACAGGAACCCAATTATTTGCAGGTGGTCACATCTTTCTTCAGATGGTCAAATAGCCTTACTTAGAGACTCACTTGGGATCTAAGTGTTATATGAGTGGAGTGAGAGCTCTGAGAAATGTAAATGCTATCTCTGAACAGAGTTAGACAGAAAATTATAATCAGTGCAATAGAGAAATATCTGGAAGTCCCAGGCTTTGAAGCTCTTCCACTACAATGTTCAAACTGATCTTCTCTTAGCTTGTTACCTTAGTTCCAATTACAGATAACAGTCACCAGTTCTTCCAAACTCAATGGCTACTGTGCTGTATACGTGAGAGACGGAGACAGAGACAGTGAGAAAGAGGGGGTGGAGTGAAAACGAAGCCAACCACGTTGAAAACTGTCCTTAAAACTGGCAGACTGAACCTTTCAAGTACAAGGAAACATGTGAATGTTAAGCTTAAAACTCAGTTAAGGTTAGAAAACAAGTAGAAACTCTCATTTTTTCTCCTCAAATACGGGTTTTAACTACTGTGTTTATCTGTTGTCTTAAGTAACTTCTATTCCTCCCTATGACCATTCCAAAGGGAGCAAATACAGAAGTTTTCCTTCTTCACAATGTTTTTCTGCCCAGGTGGCTGCCTCAGTCAGAAGCAGGAAGAGATCGGGAAGTTTGGTAAGAACAGTTGAAGAGGCACAGGTGACCCTTTTGCTGAGTCTTTGGAAGAGGTATTCGCTGGAATTAACTGCCCTGCCCAGGCCTTAGGAGGCTTTCTTAAGGGGAAAAAATTAAATGCTTGCATTTGGGTTCACTCTGTTAGTAGAGCAGACAGGACAGTTCATATGCATCCTTCCCATTTCACTCACTCCATTTTTGGCAGAGTATAACAACAGACAATAACGGGTTGGGGCATATAAGTGTATATGGTTGTTTCCCTAGGGCTTTTTTTTTAAGTTTGCAAAAGCAATATATGAGTGTATATATACATACATATTTTTTAGATTTATGATTAACTTAAGTGGGGCTTTTTGAAACCCTGACATCAGGTTTTCTATACTTCAGCAGGTCTCAATTTCCCATTTCGCAGATGGCAGGCCTATTTTTAAAGGACCAGTTTATACTTTAAAAATCTCTGTCCGTGTACTCACACACTCACACAGACAGACATACATAAAGACAATTATTTGAAGCACCATTTCGCATCTACCATCAGGAAAAATAATGAACAAACTCATCTTCTGGTTATAATACTACTATGAAAGATAATGCAACATACAATGCCATATTTTAAACATAAATATCAGTAAATAAAGATACTGACAGAGCTTAAAACTCTCCTTAGAAATATTTAAAAAGACTCAAATAATTATGTAGATTCCCAAGATCCTATTTACTGATCAGTCCCCAACGATTAAACAAATGTAAAAAAAATTTACTTCAAGACCAAATAAATAGAACAAAGAGAAAACACTAAAACAAATTCACTTGATGAAACAACAATCTTTAACTGAACACATGCAAAACTTCACGATATAACTGCTTTTATCCTTACGGCCTGATGCAAAATGCTACTACAGAATACAGAACATCTCTGTACTTTGCATTTTTGCTTTCTATTTTTAAGGCTAATTGTTTAAGGAAGACCTTTGCTTTACAGGATCTTGGCACATTAAAGGATAGCATGGCTCCCTAATTTGAAGAGCAAGACATAAAATTCAGGTATTTTATGCTTTGCTATAATTAAGAACCCTCTACCTAAACCAAACCTTGGGAATAAGGCTGATTAAACAACTCATTTATTTGCCAACTGTTTGACTTTAACCATAGACATTCGTTCTTTATTAATTCAACATTTACCATGGGTAAGAAACTGTTCTGAATGCTGACATCAGTTGGCATTTGGTTATGAGCCATTGTGTTACATCAAACTGTCAGTACTTTGGGAGAGCAACTCAATTATCTCAACACACTACTTGACAAATTATCAAGTTTAAAATCTAGGCTTCTTTCTTCTACCTAGCACACACCAAGATGACAGCCCCCAACTTTCAGCTGATTAATATTTTAGGGAACAGAAGATTACAAACTTGAAAATGCAAATCTGCTGGGAAAATTTAAAAAGCACACCATGCAGTTAAAAATGAAAGATAATTTGTTTCTGGCAACCCATCATCTCTGACATGGCTTCCTTACATTCAGAAGGTAACTGGACATTGATCATACATAGACATACATACGCACAAACTCTCTCTCCACGTGCACGTATGTGTGCATGCACACACAGATACATTTGTAATCTCACCCATTACATGTACGTTTAGTCTATTGGTATTTAAACAGCCGAACTGCAGTCATGACCTAAAATATGGCTTATGTTGTGGGCAGGTCTGTTTGAGGACTGCTTGGAAGAGTCAGAGGCAGAGGAGTTTGCTATTGTAAGCAGAGGTGACATTGCGGAGCCATCAGGAAGAGCTGTAGCTATTTCTGGAAACAATGATGTCATATTAAAATTGGATAAGTGAGAGTTGGTCATGTGCATCGGTGGCATATCAGGGAGAAGAGGAAAACTCGGTTGAGCAAAACCAACAGGTCTGGGAGGAGATAAAATTGATCCAAATCGGTTATTTAAACTTCCACTGTTTACCTTCTCTGTGCTAGGATTGGAGAACATTTGATTAGAAAAATAGGGGATCGAAATATCATTGGACAGTGTAGGATGAGCAGGAGAGTATGGGGGATAGAAAGAAGGTAGTGTATTTTGGGGATCTACAGGGATGAGGGCTGGAGTTCGAGTGGCACTAGGCTGGGTAACCTGTGGAATGAAAGAAGTATTAGCATTTATTGGTGGATTCATGCCACCCTCAGGAATAAAAGGAAAACCAAAATTTTGTGATAGTGTATGCTGGTCAGGTGCTGAATTATCATTAGGTACTTGTGGGCTATCGGGCATGAAACGAACAATGCTTCCTCTCTTCTCTGTAGTGGGTTGTTGGCGTCCAAGAATCATACTGCCACCAGTAGACAGAGGAAGATGGGGAAGACTTGGATCAAAGACATTACTATGCCTTTGGTTTCCAGAACGATTCCTTTCAGGTTGACGAATTTTGGAACCACTGCTGTCTTGCAAGGGATGCCTCGATCGCTGAGGAACTGAAGAATTTGTCTGACGTACAGGAGGCCCTTGATCAGCATTTCCATGAGACACAGATGGATGGGGCAAAGCTGGCCTTGCAATCCCATGTATGTTAGTTGTGACTGGAGGGTTCATATGGCCTTTGGTCCCATGACTGTCAGTGATCCTCATGGGATTGGACTTCTGTACAGAAACATTGGGACTTGTGTTTCGACCTTGAATATCTCCTGAGGAAGAAGAACTCGAAAATGGAACATTCAAGGTGCTGTTCCTGGTGTTAATGGCACCTAAGGACATGTCACAACTTTCTCTATTCTGACTCTCACTATCTCTTCTAATATGGACACCTTCATGAGTTGGGGGACAACTATATTCAACTGCAGAGGATGGACCACACTGTGTATTCCTCTGATGTTCCGAGAGAGATCTCTGGCTCCCAATGACCTGATCACCAAGGTGAGGGGCAAGTAAACTTTGCATGAAACTTTGGTGACATGTATTTTCACTGTCCCTTGCTGGGACAGCATTTCCTGCTGGGATGCTCTGAACTGATGGATACGGTAATCTCTTTTGTCGGTCGATTGGTGGTGGGCCAGGGTTTTGACTAATTCGAAAAGCCTGGGACTGCATACTCCTCAATGATGATACAGGGTTACCTATTTCATTATTTCTTGAAGATTGTACTTCAAAATTACTCTGGGGCTGTTGACTGGCTCCAGTTGGTTTAAATGTCTGACAGTCAGAAAGGCGGATATCTGAGGCAACAGCATGTTCCACACGACCCTGCATGTTATGAATGGCCAAACCCTTATTTCGGGAAACATCCAGATAGCTTCTCATTTCAAGCTGATCTGAAACTCTGGAACCCTGAATTGATATACCCATTCTCTGCTCTGAATTAGAAGATGTCTTTCCAATGAGCGCCTCAGCAGAGTAACTTGAAACTCTGTTTCTCTCTGGCCTGTGTGGGGTACAGGTCATGTCTGAAGGTCTAGTCACAATGCTTGGTTGGGACACCATTTGCTGCTCTATGCCTCTAGATGTCAAGAGCCTCTGCATCGGGTTATGCCCAGATACATGTTCAGAAGAAACCCCTGAACCTTGCTGCCTGCTTCCAACATCCTGCTGCTGGTGCATAATATCCTGACTGAGATGGTTCTGGGGGTGGGCATGGTGGTTCCGGCTCGTTGATGGGTTTTCACAGCTCTTCTCCTGCTGGGAGCTTCCAAAGCGTTGTTGCATCTGTGACTGCATCTGCTGATGGTGGGGATGTGGCTGACCACTCTTGGGTTGGGATTGGTCAGTGCCGTGGTGCTTCGTTTGTAAGGAAAGCTGAGATGTCTGTGTGCCCGGAACAAGGCTCCTCTTTTTCTGCAGCTGAACTTCCTGCTGCAAAGCTCTCTGTGGGTGGACACTGTGGGGCTGAGGGTGGACAGAGCTGTCTGCATGGGGCACATGGTGCTGCAGCTGATACAAGGGATGCCTCTCTCTTAGCTGCCCTGCTTGCTGCTGCTGCTTCAGGTAGAGATGGTTACTATGCAGGTGAGATACCGCCTGTGCTGGAACATGCTGTTGCAGGGCCTGTAAATGTTGACTGGCCTGGGCTTGCTGCTGCTCAGCAACCGAAGGCTGAGAACTGCACTGAACTTCAGTTTGCCTCAAAGCAGGGGCCACAAAGTTGTTACCAGGTGGGAATAATCTTGTAAGGCTATCTCCGTGTGCTGGGTTGCTAATCGGCACAACTGAGTTTGAAGAGCTGGGAGGGATCTGACTAACCATCATTTGAGTTGGATCAGAAATGCTGTCTGGAGTGCGGCTCATTAGGGTCATACCATCAAGCCTGACGGGGGCTGGCTGGCAATGCTTTTGACGTTTAGCTGAAGACATTAAGAGGTCATCTTGGACAGCACGCTTCGCAGAGTCTTTACGGTTTTCATGACTTGGCTTTAAGAGTTCTTGAGTCTGTGGGTTTGGTATGGCACCAGTCATAGTATTCAGCTGTTCTTGGGAATATTCAGTCATGAGAGATGGTCCGGGAGGCTGACTGACGTAGGAGCTAGATCCAATAGTCAGATCAACTGTTGCAGGGACAGCTGTTTGTTCTGAAGTTTGGGATAAACCAGCACAGCTGACAAGAGGATGGCTGATGCTGCTCGGATGGATGAGATTATTCACACTTAAACTGGTGATGCTTGGGGGCTGAGAAGTTGAAACCTGTAAAGAGGCATTTGATGTTTTAATTCCTATGGAACAACTTGGTTTTTCAAGGGGCCTATCCACAGTTGCTTCAACTGAATCCTGAGGATTGAATTCATTTGGTGTTGCCTCTGCCTGTCCTGAGCCATTCTCTTTAGATACCTGTGTTTTGAAAGGTTGGTCTCCCTCTAAAGATGATGCTTCAGAAGGCTTTGAAGTAACTTCCCTCATATCAGCCTGGGTGCCAGCTCTTCCCTTCTCAAGATTCTCCTGGTCAAAAATAGCTCTTGCTGCAAGAGCAACTATATCAGTTTGCTCTACAAAGGTACAGCTGTCACAAGTATTAGTTGTTGCATTGCTGGTGACATCCTCTCTACTTGTTTCAGGAAGCATGGATGCAACTGAGAAACTACGACTACTGCCAGAGCTCGTTGACATGGGAGAGTCAGCCTGTCTACTGGTGAGCAAAGAACCACTCATAACTTCCTGATCAGGAATGCAGGCATGATGCTGTCCTGGATCTCTGTCATCACTGTTCATCAGCAACAGCTCTTGTTTGGGATGCAAATCAACACTTGAATCCACTATTTTAGAACTTTCTGAAGAAAAATCAGGATGGTCCACCTGGACTGAAAGAGGTGGTTTCCGAGGGTTTTTTTCTTTAGCAAGACCAGATAGCAGTTCAGTTAAACCTTGCCCCTTTAAGTGACCTGTGGTTTGCACTGTATCTGATGAACCTTGCTCAACCCTGCAAGAGTCAGCAATGATTTCCACCTCAGAAACACAGTCAGTACTTGTAGTGCTTGCAGCAGATGACAAATCAGAAACCTGAGAAACCAAAATGTGGGGATCATTTGGAGATGGAATCAACACGTTAGCTGAAGTGCAGGATGTAGCAGCATCTGACAATGCCAAACTAGTCGGTGGCTTCTCCTGAGATGTGTCTTGTTGTAAAATAGGGACACAATCTTTGGATTTTGCTGGGGCCACTGTAAAATGTTCACTTGTTACAGATTCTTGGGAGGGTGAGCTAGACTCTTCCGCTGACTTAGACTCAGGTATCACTGATTCAGAATCCAGAGCATCTAAGGAATGTAGACCAGAAACACTTACACTATTTGCCGGGGCCAAAGCGGCAGACGGTAATACCACAGGGAGGCTTTCCAGCAGTCCGCCATTATACGATGGCTCCGCGGGGCCTTCAGGGCCAGGGCAGTCTAATTTGTCCATATCTCTGACTGGATTTAGAGGGCAGGCTGACTTGTTAGATGCTAAATATTTCTTGGCACCTGGCTTCTTAGTCAACCTTTTTGATTTCACATTAGGCAAAGAAGTTACCATGTTCACTGAGGGAGTAGTCACTAAATTATAAGTACTGGTTAGTGTGGCTGAATTATCTGTTGTCATGGAAGATGCTATGGTTGTTGTTAATGAAACACAGTTAACTGGAGTGGTCTGACTATTTGCAGCAGTCTGAGAGTTGGCAGGCTGGCTAAGGGACAATTGCACACAGCTTTGCCCAGCCATCTGTGATATGCTTTGATTGAGGCTGGCCAAAGCACCAAATGTGTTCAGGGCAACATTGGTATTTGGATCTTCGCTGGTGGTGGGTTGAATAATTTGCATAGGGGTTTGATTTGTAGTTCCTGATGAAGACATCACAGGCTGTAAAGCAAAGAGCTGTCCATTTAAAGAAATGGTTTGAGGCTGTTGTTGGTTTGACATGGTAACAGAAAAAGTTGAATTAGATGTTGGTAACGATGAAGGTCTTGGTAATATGTGAACAAGATGCTTTCCGCCAAAAGTTTGTGGGGTCGAAACATTTTGCATTGAGTTATTAGACCCAATTATAGCATTGGCTCCATTGACAGGGAGTCGAACAGAACCAGGATGTGGAGCTGAGAGGAGAGGCAAAGGGTTCTGATTAGCTGTCTGTATGATGACTATCTGTTGACCTACTGTTTGGGTGGGAACCTCTGCCCTCATCACTGTTGGGCATGGTGTGGTGCTGGGTGGCTGAAGAATGATAACATTTTGATTAGCTGGAGCTGCATTAACAGCCGACCCAACTGGCTGCGCCATCTGAATCACCTGCATTGCTGAATTCAATGGAATGATATTTTTTGGAGGCTGAGATTTAACTTGTGGCTGGGCAGTCAGCGGCTGCATAGGTAAAGATGGACAAGAAGGCAAGGTTACAACTACTTGCTCAACTGGCTGCCCATCTGCTGGAAAAGAATTACTCAAGTTGGTGCCTGTAGCTCCATGTCTACTGTGGTTGGTTGTGGTGGGACTAGTACCAGATTCATTTAATACTGGGGGCACTGCAGAAGATGGTATCTGGCTTAAGGGCTGAATAGTGTTTCCTGCCAGTTGCAAAGTAGTCCACGTTGTCTGCGTGTTTCCAGCTGAGGGAATTCGGGTAAGGCTATTAATGTTTTTCAAATCAGAAGTACTAACAGTTGAAGAAGGCAAAGAATAAGAAAGCATCCAACGACTGTCCAAAGGGTTTGCAGAAAGAGTGCTTACAGGAGTGGTGGCCTTCCCCACTCCAGGGGAACATGGGGCCACCACTGCAGTAACACTTGCTGAGTCCGCACCCTTGTTCATACTCACGGGACAAGAATCACCTGCAGACCTGGGAGGCTGGGAGCAGACTGTGGTGGTAACTGAAACAACAAAGGTGGTTTGAAAATCACTTCTGAAATCCTGTGTGCTCAGGCATGACTTGCTGCCATAGTGTGCTTTGGTGGCAGTGGCTGGGGAGCTGGCGGGGACACTTGTGACACAAGGGACCATTTTCTTCAGTAATGTGGAGCTCTCCTGCCCATTCTTATTTTCAGAAGAACTTTGATCATTTAGACATGTGTGCAAGGAACAATGTTGGTGAGGTTCAGGCCCAACAGGAACAGTGATCAATGAGCCACTAGTCACGCCAGGCATACTTGATTCACTTTCGGAGGTGGAAAGTTCAAGAATATTTTGAGCAGAAATGGTAGCAGGAAGACAAAGAGGAACAGGCTGGTTGGTGGCCAATGTAGAAACTGTGGACTGATGCCATGGCTTGTTTTCGGAAGGGTAAACTCCAGAAATAGACACAGGAGTCACAAGACTGCAAGTCCTCTGTACTGGCACCACATTGGCGGTTTGCTTTTGTAAATTATGACCAACATTAAAGGTTATCCCCTGAACAGCTGTTCCCTGGCTGTTTCCACCAGGATGACTCCCATTGGAATAAACAATGATATTTTTTTGAACCTGGTCACTGGGAATAACAACAGAGACCTTTGAGTTTCTAAGATTTCCTTTCCAGTGGATTGTGGGGTCATCATATAAGCATATGTCATTTGCTTTCAGTAATTCAATATATCGGCCATTTTCTTTTTGAATTTCTTCCAGTTGTTTGCGTAGCTTCTTAATCTCTTCAGCTATAATATTCAAAATAAAAATAAAAAATTACCTGTAATTGTCAGTATTTACAATAATGTAAGAAAAAAATTGTGTACTAAACTACTGGAGTCAAATTCTCATGTTTCTAAATACCACAATTGAGAATCTTCAGTTCTTTTCTAATATAAGTTTGTTTTCCTTTTTAGGATGATTCTCAAATCTTTATCCCATCCTTTTAAAAGTATGTATCTTTAAAGGTCAACAACCTAAAGGTCAAAAATTCATAATGTAGAAATCTCAAAATTCAAAAATTCCCAATAGGGAAGCTACAAAGGTGAAGCAGGGGAAGACAAAGGTCTCATGGTAACATGCCAGGAAAATAACACTGAATGTCAATATAATAGCATTTTAAATGCTGCAACAGCTAATCTTAAATGTGGTGGTAAGAGAGAATCTCTTCTATTAATGGCTTGAAACTAGTTTCTATTTGAAACTTTGAAATAACAGAGACTAAGTAGAACATGAAAGAAGTAAAATGGTAAAGCACTAAGAGAGTATCAACAATGGAGCCTGCATTTCCCTCAGGAGGGCCAATGTATGTACACTACTGAGTAACGAAGTGGCTGCACCCCCTAGTCCTAAGGGAGAGAATGTCTCCCATGGATTCTACTACTGGGGAAGACTGGATGCTGGCATGTGCTCTGGGACTGCGTACATCCCCTCTGCCTGCCAGAGACAGGACTCTCCCCAACTCTCCACAAAAGGCAGTCCACCCTCAAGGCCAATGCCCTATGAAATAGCTTAAGATGGAAAGTTCTGTTCTGACAAGGATGAGCTGAGACTAAGAGATTATTTTTCTCAAACATTTCAAGTAAAAGATACAGAACAAAAATGCCAATGTGCCATGGGCATTAGAAATTAGAGGGCAATTATTATGGGCCAAATAATAATGGTGATTGTTTTCATTTAGCACACACTTGCCATATGCCTGGCACTTGTCATTCATTGTCTCATTTAATAATAATGATAATGATGATGATGGTAACAATCAACAGATAACATTTACTTAGCATCCGCTATATGTCAGGCTTTACTCTAACAACCATGAGATGGAAACCACCTACTGTCATCACCATTTTTAGATGTGAGGCTCTGAGTAGTTATATGATTTTTCTAAAGTCAACCGATAGATGCCATGATTTTCTTCACTTGAAAGTAAGGAAACTGAGATTTGGAGACATTGCATAACTGGCCAAAGGTACTGAGTGAGTAAGTGAAACCAAGACTCAAGGCCAGGTAGGCCTGACTCCCAAGGCCACTGCTCCAACCACTACACTAGACTGTCAGGTAGACAGTGAGTATGTGGAGGAAGCTGCTGGAAGAAGAAAAGAAATGAGAGTAGATGTACAAAAAAGAACAAAAGGAAGTTTGGTGACAGAGATGATGATAAAGTCAGACTTAAGCTGCCACAGGTGCTGCCCATGCCTGGCTGTTCAGCTATTCTCAGCCCTGTGCAATGTGTACTTTTCCAATAGTTTCCTTTTCTTTAAGGTAACGTGATTGCCTCAGCCTCTGGGCTGTGAAACCAAAGGAGCCCTCATCAGAAAAGTCTACACATCTTTTCAGCCTTAGCATCCCTTTTGTGGGGTGCTGCAAAGTAGTTACCATATATGATATGTCTACCTGACAGCATCATAAAACCGGGTCTGGACCATAAAAGACAGCTAAGCTGGGTGAGGTGGTAAGTTGTCAGCTAACTAAACATAAACAAGGAGAATTTGGAATGCTGACCTTCCGGATATGCCTTCCAGTTTCCTCCCCACTTCTCACACTAACACAGTCCAGCACTGCCCCCAACTCAGCAAATCCTGCCTTTGTTTCTCTCATTAAGAGGACCTGAGTGGTCACAAGAAATTCTCTCTGCTCTTGCCAGAGTCATGACTGGAGGACAATTCAAACTAGCCTACCACTCTGAGCTTCATACTTGCCTGAGATATTTTTCTTTTCAGCTGTTACATGGAAACCTTCTCTCTAGCACAAGTGGGAAAACAAAACTCATTGACAGAAAAAAAAAGTCACCTCTATTGAATATAGTCAGTGGTTCTATAACATCTTTCTATGTTGACAGATAGCAACTACACTAGGTGGGGTGAGGATTTAAAAACATAATAACTGTCGAATCACTATGTTGTATACTTGAACCAATAGAATATTGTATATCAACTACACTTCAATTTAAAAAATATATTAAAAGTTCACCTCTATTTAAAATTCAAACATCATTAAATGATTAGGTAGTTTGACATACAAATTATATGCAATAGACACAATTATGGGCCCAACATTTTGGCCTTTTGAGTTAATTCACAAGTTAAGTCTTGGCACAGGCATATCTTTATCTTGTTTTTAAGTTACATTGAGCAGGACTTCCCCTACATCATCTTATGGGATTTCCCTAGCTGGAAGATCCAACTGGAATAAAGGAGATCCAGTGTTATTTACATCATGAGTTAAGTAAGCATGAAGTACACAACAAAGTCCAAAATCAAAATTATGTACACCTGTTAGATTAGTGTTGCTCACAGAGGGGAAAAAAAGGTAAAATAAGATGAATTTATTTGCAATATTATTGTCCTGGACCCTTTGAATGCACAGTCTCAAATATTTTGGGGCAAAAAAAGCCTTCTGTATCCTACTGTAAATTGCATTGTGACACAAAGGCTTGAGCATGGAAAAAAACAACAAAAACTAGGAATCTTAAAATCTTTACCTTGTTCATTGTTTCCTCCATTAAGCAGGAGTTCATCATTTTGCCTTTTCAATTCTGTTATATATTTAAAGGCTTGGTCCAGAATCATGTTCTTGCTCTGCCAAAGAAAATTTACCATTTAAAGTTTCACTGAAAGTGAAGAACTTGCCAGAAGAAACCAAAAGCTTTGGTTTTACCACATATATATGATATGCATCTTTTCAAAATTTAAAACAAACAATTCAAAAGCTTCTAATATTGATTTTTCATTTACTAAGTATTTATTGAGCATCTACTATGTGTCAGGCTCTGTTCTAGGCACTGGGGATGTAATAAACAAAACAAAGTTCCTGATCTTGAGGAATAGTGTGTGTGTGTGTGTGTGTGTGTGTGTGTGTGTGTGTGTGTGTGTGTGTGCGCGCGCGCCCCACAATCAGTTGGTGATAAGTGCTATGATGAAGAAATGAAGCAAAGCAAGGATGGAGCCAGAGAAATGGCAGGGGTCACTCTGTCCTATAGACTGAATGTTTTTGTGTCCCCCTACGATTCATGCTGAAACTCTAATCCCTCATGTTATGTTATTTGAAGGTGGGCCTTTGGGAGGTAATTAGGAAATGAGGGTAGATCCCTCATGAATGACATCAGTGCCCTTAGAAGAAGAGACATGAGAGAAGTGATTGCTCTTTCTCTGTCATGTGAGGACATAATCAAGAAAAGAACCTACATCAGTCACCAAATCAGCTGGCACCTTGATCTTGGACTTTTCACCCTCCAGAACTGTGAGAAATAGACATGTGTTGTTTAAGCCACCCAGTCTCTGTTATTTTTCTTACAGCAGCCCAAATTTACTAAAGCACTCTACTATACTATTTTGCATAGGGAAGTTAAGGAAGGCCTTTCTATAAGGCAATATTTGAGCAAAAACCTGACGGAAATATAAGGAAACATGCCGTGTGGATGTCTGGAGGAAGAGGGTACAGGTAGTGAGACCAGCGAGGGCAAAGGCCCTCAGGCAGGATGTGTTGGGCATGCCAGAGGTGCAGGAGGAGGTGAGCAGGACTAGGGCTAAGTATACAGGGGAAGAATGGTAGGGAAAGAGGCCAGAGGGGACCGTGAAGACCACAGCAAGATTTCAGATTTTAATTTACTCTTTACAGTCTGTTAACCACAAAAATACACTGTTTTAAATAACAGGTTGAGAAAACAATGCCACTTAAGTTTGGATGTCATCCTCCCAGTATATTCCATACCCAAGCTTTTTCAAAAAGATGTATTTTATGTCAAAGTGTTCATTTATTCTTTATAAACTAATAATTTTTAATATTGAAAACAATATGTGTATATGGGAAAAAACATAAATATGAAGGGCTATATAATGAAAAGTAACTTTCCTTTTGACTTTAGCTCTCCAAACCCCTTTTCAGAGGCAATCACCATAAAGTTACTTGTGTATCCTCCCAGAAATATTCTATGCTGATATATGCATCCATATTTATACATGTCTTTTTTAAAAACCCAGACAGGAAACTATAAACTATCTAAACTATAAAATTTAGATATCTATATCTATATTATACTTTCTGAAGGCTGTTTATTTACAGCCTACTCTGATAACTATTTAAGCTGCATACACATTTCATTTTTTTATTCCTCAGCTATTAAAAATGTTGCAGTGAATGTTTGACTTCTACTCCAGTATGTATGTACATTATTAAATATCTCCAGTACTTTATCAGATAGCTCTTTTCATATAGGTACCAGTGATTTAGGGCTTCATTTCAGCAAGTTACAATTCTTGGTTCCCTAGAATGAATCCCAACAGAGACCCAAAATTACCCAAGAAACACTTTACTTTGAAGAGAGAAAACTTTTATTGTTCTTTCCTAAAAGAAGAGTTGAGACAAAGACAGAATCTGGTAATGCCCACCTACTGCCTCTCCACTGCTGATGGGGGTGGGAACATGTAGCAATAGTGAAGAAAACCTTAACCTCCTTGGCCTCTGAGAGCCAAATATTGATCCTCTGTACACTTTACAACATCACCAAGGAAGTTAAATGATTATTGTTCCCTTTCAGAGAAAACTTGTGGAAATGAAAATCAAGAGAAGAAAAATAAGATTTTACTGAGCAAACACCAATATTTACTGAGCAGCTACTATACATAAAGATATGGGAAAAGAAAAGCAATGGTGCCTGCCCTTAGGTTTGTTATTGTGTTAAGGAAACAGAAAGTTCATTTTTAAAAAGACCAAAAAACGCATTTATGCAAGACTAAGTACCATCCTGGAGAAGAGAAGAAAATGGAACTGAAGTGTAAAACCTCGCTTAGAGGGAGTGCTGAGGAGTGAGCAAATTGATCTGGCCCCCAAACAGCCTGGGAGCTCCAGTTTCCATGGGAGGTGGGGGTGGGTGGGGGGTGAGGCATGGGGTTAAAACTGATGGGCCTGTTGGAAAGACTCATCCTTTGCAGGAAATCAGAACCAAGCCCTGCACACACATCTTATGCAGCTGGGTGACTTCCCCTTCCTGCCCCAACCACAGGAGACAAATTTATTTTTATGAAATTTGAACCAGAGTAATTCAGCCTCAGGGATACTTGGCACAGAAGTATATAAAACAAAGCTCCCAAGTGAAAATGGGGTAAAGTAAAATTCTATCTCCTAAAGCATAAGACTCTTCAGCACTCCTTTCCCCAATCAGCTCCCAGAATAATGGCCTTATATCAGGCTAGTATAAGCCTCTCCCCACCATTGTCACTTCTAGGTAGGGGGCTTGAAGGATTCTTCTCTGGAACATAAAAATTAATAGCTACCCCCAAAATAAAAAAGCTACAAAGATGGATATTTTTGAGTTCCACAACATTAGCTTATTCCTAATCACTCAACAGTTAGATTAATCAAAACAAGCCTATTCAATCAGGTTTTTAATGCCTCCTTCTCAAACAGGAAAAAACAAGTAAGTATCACTAAAAACTTAAAGTCTCCAAAAAGAAAGACACAATATCAAAACAAAGGGGGGAAGAAAGGAAATCAGAAGAAACAAAGCCAATACAGAAAATAGAAGAAAATTAAAAAAAAAAAAACCTATGTAACATTCTCAGAGATGACATGATACCGTACCCATGAGACAAACATGGATATAAAGAGGAACACAGAGAATAAGAAGAAAGGCTCTTGAAAATTAAACCTATGAGAGCTGATATTAAAAACAGGAGACTTGGAAGAGGCTAATCAATTGAAATTGGAAAAAAAAAAAAAAGGTAGAGCATTCCAGAAGCAAAGTCTAAAAGAGAAAAAGGGGAAATGGAAATTCTATGGTACATTTGACCATGCAGAAATTGTGTTAAAAGATTTTTGGAAGTGTGGAAAGAATATAGGTGTATAGAAAATTAAGCAAATGAAAAATAAGGAGGCAATTATTAACTTCAAAAAAAAGTTACATATGATATGAAACAATAATAGTACACTACTTGGCTCAACTGTAAACAGCATTTACACATTCTTAACATATAACCTGAATACCAATTCAATCAAAAGTTGTGGCAGAATTACACTGGGAGGATATATCAAGGGGAAGCCAAGGGAAAAACCGTAACAGGAGGTCAAATGATGGTATCAAAAATGGAAAAATTAGGATATAGTAATGTTATTTTGAAATAAAAAGGTAAGTATCAGGAGAAACAGTTGAGAATGGGCTCATCTAAAGAGCTATAATAGAGTTAGGAAGCAGGTGAGCAGGAGACTAATGTTTGTTGTTTGAAGCTTTTTACTGCTACTTGCTATGTGTACACATGAATTTTTGCATATTTTCATTAAAAATTAACCCAAAAAAGCTGGCACAAATTATGATATCCCATTATAATGGATACTATAAAACCATTAAAAATGGAATCGTATGAGGAAAGGTATCTCAATCAAAAATCTATTATGTACCATGGAGTAAAAATGACAAAGCAAGTTATGAAACAGACTGGGTATATATACGGATATATTCATAAAGTGATGTCTGAAGACATGTGTAACAGCACTTTTAATAGTCGTTATAACTTGGGAGTGGGATGTCAATTTATTTTAGAAACTTTTTTATACCTTCCATATTGCTTCAGTTTTTGTTGTTTTGTTTTCAGTAACCATGCTTTATCCTCATTATCAGATGAAACAAAAAGCTAACTTCATTAGGGAAAACTATTAGCTTTAATAAGTTGAGATTGAAGTACTAGTGGAGGTTGATAGAGTGTGAAGAATAAATTAAAGATGCTGGCAGCTCACAAAGATCAGCAATCAGCCACTGCTGGCAGACAGGCAGAAAGGTGTCCCCACCCATAGCCCAACAGCAACTGCAGCTCCACCACAAAGGATAATCAGGCACTGGAGAGTAAAGAGTCTTGAGCTTCTGGGCACAACAGGACACCTTCTTCATAAAGCCATTACTCTCCAGACCAGGAGGCATAGTAGATCTATCTAATGCAAAGGAAGAAACACAGAAACCCAGACAAAATGAGGAGGCAGAAGAATATCTTCCAAACAAAAGTAAAGGCTACTTCACCAGAAAGAGGGCTAAATGAAATGGAGATCACCAATCTTCTTGATAAATATCTCAAAGTAATAGTCATAAATAGGCTCACTGATCTGAAGGAAAGTATTGATGATCTCAGAGAGGACTTCAACAAAGGGAGAGAAGAGTTGAAAAAGAGCAACTCAGAGCTGAAGAATAGAGTACCAGAAAAGAAAAATACAATGGAGGGAGTGAATAATAGAATGCTGCAAGTAGAGGAGACACTTAGTGAGATGGAAATTGGAGAAGAGGAAAACATGAAGCTGAGAAACAGAGAGAAAAAAGAATTTCTAGAAATGAGAGGATGCTAAGAGAGCTGTGTGACAACTCTGAACAAAACAATGTTCACAGAATAGGGGTACAAGAAGGAGAAACGAGGGACAAAGGAGGAGAAAGTCTCTTTGAAGAAATAATTGTTGAAAACTTCCCCAATCTAGGGAAGGAAATAGACACCCAGGTCCCAGAAACACAGAGATCCCCTAACAAAAGGAACCCAGGAAGACAACACCAAGACATAGTAATTAACATAACAAAGTTTAAGGATAGAGAGTACTGACATGGTTG